ATAATAATAATAATAATAATAATAATAATAATAATAATAATAATAATAATAATAATAATCTGTTCCAAGTAAAACTGCCTTTTGCAACTGAGCATTTACAAAATCACCATCCGTCAATTGCAAAAGGCAGCTTTACTTGGAACAGCTTCCATCCTGCGACGATACCTTGAACACCATCAAACAACAACTTCTGACTATTCCAGGTCCTTGGGAAGGACTCGATAGGTGGATAAAAATGCCAAATCCAGTCTAAACTTCTGGCTGACCGTGCTAATAATGATGATGATGATGATGATGATGATGTCCCCCATCCCTTTATTTCTTGTTTTCCCAACCACTAATTTTTGTAAAAAGAAAACATGTGACAGATCTTTGTTTCAAGAACTCTTAATGATACTTGCCCCAATTCTGGTTTTTTTGAGCAACGACTGCCACGGCTTTTGGATCTTCGTGTCTCAGAAACATGAAAGTCACCATGTTTTCAGTTTTAGTGCAAGAAATGTCAATCATGCACGGACAATGTTGCATCTTTCCCCCACCCAGCCTCCTCAAAATCCTTTGCTTTGCTGCTACGTGAGGCTGTTCTTCAAGCAGAAAGGAGGTTGGATGGGGAGCGTCTTTGATTTTAATGGGAGGAGGAAAAAATAATACAAAGCATCCTTGCCTCAAATTCTAGTATTTACGGCTCTCTTAGAAATATTTACATCTAGGGAAAGACTATACTAGCTATTGGTAAAATTGTATCCAACACCAATCTGAAGGGGCTCTTGCTAACCAAAACTCTGGAGGAAAAATAAAAACACTCCAGTGAAGATTAGGGATATTTTCAAAAGGTTGTAAACAAGAAATTGCACTAACTTTACCAGTGTTATCCATCCATGTTAAAGACAGATGAGCAGCTGGGAAGGGGATCAATTCTGAATGTGTGTGAAAATTTAGAAAACCAATCTGGGCTAGGATGTTCTCCTGGTCCCAGCTCTGATAAAATAAGGGAAAAGACAGTGGGGAGGAGAACAACATGTAACTCAACTTGTTAAAGGTTAGTGGAAGTCACCTTCACCTCCTGCCCCGTATCCTTCACTTCTAACTTGCTCTTCCTTTGCTTTCCCCATTCTTGGAGTTCTCAATTTGAAATGTGACTTAGATCGATGGCCACCAATTTTGGAACTGGGTCTCCAGGTCCAAGCCATCAAACGCCTCTGGAACCATCTTCAACTTCCTTTTTCCAGACGTAAATCTCAGCAAGGGATTATCTTGAACTTGCCTTGAGGAAGGCTGATAGACCCAGCAGACCTCTCCGAATTAAACATAGAGGCTGCCCCAATTCTGCCTGAAGAATCAACCAGCAGCTCATGCCTTGCTCTCCATCCCTCCCCAGGTCTCACACCCAACCAGGGGGTTAGAGTTTGTGGCTTGGCCCCTCCTCCTCCACCATTGTTCGGATCTCCAGTTGCTCAGACACTTCCTCATCTGCCAACCCGTTGAGGTGTGATCTGCTGGCCAAAGGCTTTTCGCCTGCATCTGCCGAAGGGCCGGGCCGAGGTGGGGAGGGCGCCCCATTGCCCCCTTCGGATTTGCTGAAGTTGAACAGTTTGCTTGGGTTGAAAGGCTTAGTGGGCGACTGCACCTTCTCAGTGTTGGCTTCCCGTTTTGTCTCTGGGGACTTAAGGAACTTGAAACTAAGGAACCCAGGTAGTTTGTTATCAGTACTAATGGGGGACTGGGGTGAACGGGCTGTCCCAGTGCCAGCTGCCCCTGTGCTCCCTGATAAAAACTTGCCCTGTAGAGGGATGATCTGCTTGAGCTTCATAACATTGTTGGTGGCCAGGAGGGAGCTGGGCCGTTTGGGTTTCTCGGATCCATGGCTTGACCCTCCTGGACCCTTCCCTTTGGGCTGACTCTTCTCGTGTCCAGGATCCTGCCCACCACCATTAGCCTTGCCTTCCTCCCGGCTGCTCTCACGTTCTTTCCGGGCATGATATTCAGCGTGGCGCTGACGCTCCTCTTCCTCCCGTTTACGACGCTGTTGTTGTTGGAAGTGGTGCTGCGCCTGTCGCTCGTGTTTCTGGGGTGGAATAATGACACAAGAATTAATTATCCTATTTACTGTGGTCTCCAACAGCTTCCCCTTTCTTCTCTGAAGAATCTGTGTCCTTTTTGACACTGTAAACTCACGGGCATAGGCCTCTGTCCTCTTACCATTATTTTTAATAATAAATTATCATTCCAGAGGATGAGCTTGTGGGGCAGGGACACATCCTTTCAAAAATATCATGTGCACATGGATGCCATCATATAAGCAGCCATTATGCTCCCTGCTTTGCTGGCTTGAATTGTTTTTCAATGTCATATTTTTAATGAAACATAATGATGGGTATTTTGCAAATAAACAAATGGAATTATCTGGGAATGGGAACAGCTATTTGCAAAACACTGCAGGGCTGGAAGAAATACACATTCTTTCTCTATCTGGCAAGTTGGAGGCAATATCCCCCCTGCATCAAGAGCCAGTTAAAGAGAGATCAAAGAGGATCCACCTTAGCATACTCACTGATAAATGGAGGCTAAAGTACACATTTCCAGTTTCTAGGATTTTTTAACATAACTCTTTTTTCCTTTCAATAAACCTGACTACAGGTAGTCCTCAACTTACGACCATTCTTTCAATGACTGTTTGAAGTTATGACAGCACTGAAAAAAAATACTTAGACTGGTCCCCAAAGTTACAGCCCTTGCAGTGCCCCCGCGGTCACACGATCAAAATTCTGGTGCTTGGCAGCCTATCCACACTTATGACTGCAGGGGCACTTCAGCTCCACTTGCCTATCTCCTCCCATTTATGCCTTTTGGCCACCCTGCACAGCGGGACTCCTCGGCAGCAGCAACAGGGCTGGGGCTAAAGTAGGGCCTGGGGCCTTCAGCAGTGTCAGGCAGCTGCCACTGCCCCCAGGCTTCTACTTCAGCCCCAGCCCTTGTATAAGGCAGGCCAGATGTGCCTCGTCAGCAATGGGAAGAAGATAGTGGGCGCGGCAGGGCCTGCGGAGTGCAGGGCGGCAGGGCAGCTGGGGCTTTGTGCTGTGGCACTGAGGTGGCTGACTGTGGCGTGGGGCTTGAGGTGGCACTCTTCAGCAGTGGTGCCAGCTGCACTGGGGGTGAAGTAGAGGCCTGGGGCCAGTGGTGGCCGGCTGAGACTGCTGAAGGCCCCAGGCCTCTAATTCAACCCCAGTGCTGCTGCCACCACCACTGAGGAATGCCGCCGTGCAGGCCAGCCAGAAGGGCAGAGATGAGGGGGAGATACAGTAGGTGAGTGGGGGGAGTTGAAGCGGAGGCAGAGGAGACAGTCCAGAGGAGGCTCTGGGCTGGGAGGGAGCAAGTGGAAATGACTTGGATCGGGGTGGGTCCTTGCCTAACGACTGGCGCGTCTTGGGGTTATGATGGCAACCAGGATTCCCCGGGATTACTGTCGCTAAGCAATGTGGTCATGTGACATCACGCTTCACGACTGCATCACTTAGTGATGGAAATTCCAATCCTAATTACCATGGTAAGACAAAGAATAGCTGTAGTGAGACTTTCCAAGAATCTAGCTTTAATTATGATTTATTTCAGTAATAAATCTAGCTTCAATTATTATTTATTTATTTATTTGAATGTATTAGCCGCCCAGCTCCAATGGACTTTGGGCAGCATATTTGAAAAACCATAAAAAACAGATTAAAAACCTTAAACCAAATGGACAGCTCAGACTAAAATAATCTTACAGATAATAATCAAACAGGGGCCCTAGGCAAACCCTAATCCATTAACCCCAGGCCTGGGGCCAAAGCCAGGTTTTCAGAGCTTTCCGGAGCCCTAGGAGAGAGGGGGCCATCCTTACCTCTGGGGGGATGCTGTCCCAGAGGGTGGGGCTTTTCTTGGTTGGGGCGGGACAGCAACATTTGCACCAAATATGGTATAAAAGCTCTAAAAAACTACCTTACTTACCCTGACCTTGTAAGGTAGGCTGGCATTGGGCTTGCAGGTCACATAAGGAGAGCCAATGCATGTTTATTCAAAAACGAGAGCCCCAATTGTGCGTCTCTGTTGTGAAACTCACCTTAAAGGCCTCCCGCCTCTGGTATTCAAGCTTGGCCATCTCTTCCGCGACCCAGGCTGGGATATCAGGAATTGCAACTTGGATGATATATTTGAGCAAAAGGGCAAAATGCTGTGGAGAGAAGAGAGACAGGCTGTAAAGAGTAAGGAAGATTACCTAGAGATATTCAAGCTCCGTCACCCAAACGGGGGGAAACATAATTTACCGCATAGACTTGTGCATAAGCTGAGAATTTTAGCTGCTAAAATGCACCAAAAAATCAAGTTTGGCTTATCTGCAGATGGACTTATCTGCAAGTATATACAGTAATACTTTTTTAAAGGACCCTCAAATTTTTAACTAAAATACCATGAAAAATGTACCATCCGCAGATAAACCAACCCTGGAAATGTTCATATGTTTTAATTTTCACAATTGGCTTATCCACAGGTGGTGCATTTTTCATGGTATTTTGGTTAAAAATTTGAGGGCCAGCTTATACACAAGTATATATGGTAAGTCCACCAGAGACAGATAATATTCGGAAGAGGCTTAGACAGACACCTCCCTAATTCACAGGAGTATAAGAACGGGGCAGGGGGGGAGGTACAGTACATATGTTGGACTTGCAAGATTCTGTTATTACAGCCAATCTCAGTCAAAGTACTTTCAGCCTTCCTATGGAGCTAATTTCCTGGTCTGGTCTCCCTAGGGGGGTGAACAGGGGCAGAAAGCAAGTTGTGTTCAGCACACAACTACCCAGAATACCATTGAACAGATTCTATTAGAAGAAATTAGTTTTTTAAGATAAACTGTTATCAAACTAGAATCAACATTTTTGTTCCACCATAAGAGGTTTTTTTTTTTAAGTTTTAAGCTAATTTGCTTATATGGAAATTTACATAGCAAAATGAGCTAGAGGAAATAATAAAAATGCATGAGCACCTACAATAAAAGGTCACCAGCAGACAGTACCTGCAGGCACCAGGGCATCGGTTACACTTCCAGATAATATCTGTATCCCTCAAAACGGCCTTCAATGAAAAACCATACATGTAATTTTAAAAATGGGCTAAAACCTTGCAAGGTCTCAGACAAGAACACTGACATTTAATTAATTTCTGTCTCTTTCAACTTTTCAGTGTTATCACATGAGATCTTATTCTAACTCAGCGTGAGACTGCTGAACTCAGATCTGGGGATAATGCACACTTCTGGGACAGGAAGCAGATGGTTGTTGAGTCGTTTCTGACTCCTCGTGATAGAACAGATATCATTTCACCAGGGCTGTTTAGTACTAACTGCGACTTGGAGTTCTTGTAAGTATGAATCATCAGTGATCGTATCTAGTCTTCCTGTCTTCACTGGCCTCTTTTTCTGTTGCCTTCAATGTTTTCAAGCATCAGAATCTGGGACACATCATGACTGATGTATCCCAAATATTCCCACTTTCCAAGTCTTCCAGAAGTCTCTTAAGATCTGGCTCTGTTCCCAGGCCTGGGGTTAGGGTGTTTCTGGGGCTCCTGACAAATCTTTTTGAATGTTATTGTTGTTGTTTTGTCAGGGAGGTTGTATATATATTTTTTAAAAGTGTGTTTAAATACTGTAAGCTGCCCAGAGTCTTTGGAGATCTGGCAGCCTCAAAAAAAATTGAATTAATTGGCTTCATTCTTACTGCTTCCAGTAAGCAGTCTGATTCACTGAATGATTTGTTCTTCTTGCAGTCCAAGGTATTCTCAACAACTTTTCTCCAGCACCACAATTCAAAGGTATCCGTTTTAATTTGTTCAGCATTTCTGATGGTTCAGCTTTCACGGCTGTGTCTTACAAATGGGCAAATTACCGCTTTGACAATATGTACCTTTGTGTCATTCCTGTACTTTTCTTTGTCCAGATCTCATAATCTTTCTCCCAGGTTGTAGCTACTCTTTATTTCATGGCTATCACACCCATCCCTGTGAATTTTGAGCCTATTAGGAAGGTAATGTCCATTATTACTCATTTTGTCAGCTTACACTGGGTTGGTTTTGCCTTGACATAATCTTGTTTGTTAATAATGAGCAACAGACCACCTCTTCTTTGACTTTCAACAAGAGAATCCTTACATCTTCTTTGCTTTCAGCCCTCAAAGTGTCAGCATATCTGAGGATGTTAATGTTTCTCCTAGTAACTTTAATTCCAATTTCTCTTTCTTCTACTCCAGCATGTCTCATATAGCCTGTTTATAAGTTAAATAAGATAGCAATATCCAACTTTGGTGCATTTCTTTCCCATTTTCAAAGAATTTAGTTCTTCCATGTTTTGTTCTAACTATTGCTTCCTGATCTCCACACAAATTCTTTGATAGGCAGATGAGATGGCTTGGCATGCCCAAGTTTTTAAGGACCATCCATACTTTGTTGTGGCCTAATCTTTGTATAATCAATAAAAAAAGACATCGTTTTAGAACTCCCTTGCCTTTTCCATTATCCAATGGATGTCAGCAATGTGATCTTGGGTGTCCTTGCCTCTTCTGAATTCAGCATGTACATCTAACAGTTTTCATTCTATGTATCGTTGATTGTTGCATAATCTTGAGTGTTAAATTAGTAAAATGACTGAGTGTTAAATTAGTAAATGACTGTTATTCCTTAGCACTGCTCTTGTTTGGTACCATTATCTATCTATCTATCTATCTATCTATCTATCTATCTATCTATCTATCTATCTATCTATCTATCTATCTATCTTGATCTTTTCCAGTCCCTTGTCCACTGTTGCGTTTTCCATATTTGTTTACAAACCGCATGCAACACTCTAACTGCATCATCTTACACTGTTTAAAAACAGTTCCCCTGGTATTTCATCAATTCCTGCAGCTTTCTTGTAAGGAATATTTTCTAGGGCTAATTTAATTTCACTTCCCAGAATGTCTGGCTCCAGTAATGAAACATTTGTACAATTTGGGGACCTTTTTTGTACAGTTCTTCCATATATTTGTGCCATCTCTTCTCTGTTTTCAGTAGATCTTTATCTTCTTTCTCTTTTATTGTGCCCATATTTATATAAAAGGTTCCTTTGATTTTTGTAATTTTCTTAAAGAATTCTCTTGCTCTTTCCATTTGTTATTCTCAACCTGCTTATTTAGTTATAATTCCTTGTTTTTTTCTTGCTTTTCTCTGGAACTCAGCATTTGAGGAAAAGTTCCTCTGAAGCTATTGTCTTTTGCTTTCCACATTTCTTCTATTTTCAACATGTCAGCAGACAGCCATTTTTATTTTGGGTTACTGCATTTTGGGATATTTTTGTTCGCTTCATCTTTAATGATGTCATGAATTTCAGGATAGAGTTCTTCAGGCACTCTATTTATCAAATGTAATCCATTGAATCTGTTCTTTATCTTCACTGCTTTACTGTGGAATGCTACTCTGGTTGTATCTTGTTGGCTTAATACATTTATATCTTTTATTTAGTTTGTGTTATACTTTTGCAAGGAGTTTGTGATCTGAGCCACAGTCAGCACCAGATCTTGTTACTGCTAACTGAATAGAGCTTTTCCATCTCTGCTTGTATATTGGCAATTTGATTTTGGTCTTGTCCAGCTGATGAGGTCCATAGAAGATGCTATAAACATTGGATCTGGGTTGGTGAATTTTATTATACAGTGCTTGGTTATTGTACTATATTTAATGTTAACTTTGTTTTCAGTTTGGCTTATAGAGACTTTATTATATTGTTTCTGTTGATGTTAGCTACCCAGAGTCCGTACGTTAGATGAGTAACCATACAAAATTCCTAAATAAAGAAATACATTTTCTTGGCAGAACTCAATTAGTCTGTCTCCTGCTTTGTTTCATACTCTCATAGTCGTAGTCAAATTTTCCAGTTAAACCTGATGCTATTTTATTTCCAACTTTAGTTTTCCAGTTTGCTGTACTTTGTCTGATGTTTCTTTCTGATATTGTGCCAACAAGGTGTTGCACGTTGCCAAAAAACTGCTCAACTTCCACGTCCTCTGCATCTGTGGTTGAACATAAAGTTGGACTACCATAATATTGACTGGTTTGCCTTGGTTTCATATCAAGATAATTCTCTCATTTGGGGGGTTGCATTCGAGCACTGATTTGACCCCTCTTGTTAATAATGATGTCTACCCATTTCCTCTATGATATTCTTATCTGTAGTACAGGTAGTCCTTGACTTACAACCATTTGTTTAGCGACTGTTTGAAGTTATGATGGTGCCAAAAAAGTAACTTATGACCAGTCCTCGCACTTACAACCGTCGCAGTGTCCCCATAGTCACATGATCAAAATTTGGGCACTTGGCAACCAGCATGTATTTACAATGGTTGCATCGTCCAAGGGTTATGTGACTGCCATTTACAACCTTCTTAGCTGGCTTCTGACAAGCAAAATCAATGGAGAACTGCATGATTCACTTAAAGACCATGTGATTCATTTAATGACTGTGGTGATTCGCTCAATGACCACTGCAAAAAATGTCATAAAATTGGGTGTGGTCACATGATGCCTTGCTTAATGACTGCACCACTTAACAATGAATTTTCCAGTCCCTATTGCGATTATAAGTCGAGGACTATTTGTGAAGATCTGATGCTCCTCTGATGTGAAGCGACTCTTGCCAGTATGTTGAGTTTGCTGATTCTCAAAAGATCAGTGTTCAGTCTTCACATTTTTGCTCTGACAACATCAGGTTGATCTTGGTTCATGGTTCTGATTTTCCACATCCCAAAAATATTCCTATCTTTGCAGCATCAAGTGTTCCTTTTGCCAGCTGGGCATCCTTTTGGCTTTAATCCAGCGACATATAAATATCAGTGCTACTTCTAATTGTCCTCTGTCCTTCCTCAGTAGTTGGTTGAATATGAAATATATAGAAAAGAGTTGAAAAATGTAAGTACACCAAAGAAATAATAGAGGAAGAGAGGAATAAGTTGATCGCACTCTTACCTCTAGCACCACCACAGATATAATAGCGCCTTCAGGACTGAGCCAGGGAAAGAGGCGCTGCAGCTGCCCACACTGGCCTATCAGGTAGCAGTTGACCACAATGGCCAGGACACCCATTGCCTCCATCACTTTCTGCAGAGGGGGGAAAAGGCCCTTTTAAAAAATGAGGCACTTTCAGTGACGGACTTAAGAAGAATCATCCTGTTTTAGCAACTTAGGAAAAAGAAGCTGTATAATATAGAACATCACAAAAGCAAGCCTGAGGGAAGCAACAGGAGTGAGAAGCAAAAGGAGGTGTCCTTCATACAATGGATAGTTTGTTTGTTTGTTTGTTTGTTTGGCTT